CCCCCAGGGTGGGCTCAGCTGCCAAACCTGCTCCCGAGACTGGGATTTGGGGGGGTCCAAGGCATTCATCCCTTCCCGTGGCAGGACAGAGCCCGGAGAGGAATCCAGGTCGGGATTCAGCCCCCAGGCAGGAGACCCCCAGGGTGGGCTCCCCACGCCGGAATGTTGGAACTCGGGCTCTCTCAGGTGCTTTCCCTCCCTCTCCCCCCTTTCCCTCAGGGCTGGATCCACCCCAGGAATCACAGGGGGGGGTCCCCACTGACCCCTCGACGTCCAGGAGGTGCCGGGGGGGCTCTGGGATGACGGGCATGGCCAGGGACAGGTACCGGATCACGGGCCCCACGCACTGACGCTTCTTCTGCACCTGCTTCTTCTTGTCGGCCTCCAGGCGCTCGTAGTTCTCTGGGAACGGCGGGATGGGGGCCGGGAAGGGAGGGGGGAGAAAGGTCAGGGCCTGGCTCACACCCCCCACCCTGGGGACACGGCTCCTGGAGCTGTTCCAGGGGGCCCTGTGCCATTCCGGGCACCTCCGTGAGATCCCAGGGGGCCCTGCGCCTTTCCAAGGATCCCTGTGCCATTCCAAGGATCCCTGTGCCATTCCAAGAATCCCTGTGTCACTCCAGGGGGTCCTGGAGCCATTCCAGGGGTCCCTGTGCCACTCCAGGCACCCCTGTGAAATTCCAGGGGGCCCTGCACCACTCCAGGGAGCCTGGAGCCATTCCAGGGTCCCTGTGCCATTCCAAGAATCCCTGTGCCATTCCAAGAATCCCTGTGCCACTCGAGGGTCCCTGTGCCATTCCAAGGACCCCTGTGCCATTCCAGGGGGTCCTGGTGCTGTTCCAGGGGTCCCTGTGCCATTCCAAGAATCCCCTGTGCCATTCCAGGGGGTCCTGGCGCTGTTCCAGGGGTCCCTGTGCCATTCCAGGCATCCCTGTGACATTCCAGGGGCCCCTGTGACATTCCAAGGATCCCTTTTCCCTCCCAGCTCCACTCCAGGGATCCCTGTGCCATTCTGGGGTCCTGGAGCCATTCCAGGGATCCAATTTCCCTCCAGCTCCATCCTCAGGGTCCCTGTGCCATTCCAAGGACCCCTCCCCCCACATCCCAGCTCCATTCCAAGGATCCCTGTGACATTCCAGGCATCCTTTCCCCTTCCCCCCCTCCAGCTCTGTTCCAGGGATCCTGGTGCCATTCCAAGGATCCCTTTTTCCCCTGGCTCCATTCCAGGCATCCCTGTGACATTCCAAGGATCCCATTCCCCTCCCCATCCCTGGCTTCATTCCAGTGGTCTCTGTGCCATTCCAAGAATCCCTGTCCCATTCCCAGGATCCCAGCCCCATTCCCAGGATCCCAGGGCTCTCCCAGGGATCGCAGGTTGATCTCCTCCGTGATTCCCAGCCCCATTCCCAGGATCCCAGCCCCATTCCCACAATCCCAGCCCCATTCCCGGATCCCAGAGCTCACCCAGGGAGCGCAGGTTGATCTCCTCAGTGATTCCCAGCCCCATTCCCACAATCCCAGCCCCATTCCCGGATCCCAGAGCTCACCCAGGGAGCGCAGGTTGATCTCCTCCGTGATTTTGGCCTCCTCCAGCAGCTCCTCCTGGGTCAGGGGCCTCTCGTAGCTCGTTCCCCCTTTTTTCCTCTTGGACTGGACCTGGCGCTCCTGGAGCCTCAGGAACGTTTGCCGCGTGTGCTCCGTGGTCGACTGGCGCATGTGCTTCCTGCCTGCGGAAAACCGGGATTGGGAACGGCACCGGGAACGTCCCGGGGCAGCACGCCCAGCCCGGAGCACTGGGAGCATCCCGGGAGCCCATTCCCGACCCCTGGAGCACTGGGAGCATCCTGGGAGCCCATTCCCAACCCCTGGAGCACTGGGAGCTCTCCCAGAGGATCCCATTTCCAGCTCTCCCAGAGGATCCCATTCCCAACCCCTGGAGCACTGGGAGCTCTCCCAGAGGATCCCATTCCCAGCTCTCCCAGAGGATCCCATTCCCAACCCCTGGAGCACTGGGAGCTCTCCCAGAGGATCCCATTCCCAGCTCTCCCAGAGGATCCCATTCCCAACCCCTGGAGCACTGGGAGCTCTCCCAGAGGATCCCATTCCCAGCTCTCCCAGAGGATCCCATTCCCAGCCTGGATCACCGTGACCCCATTTCCAGTCTGGGTCACCAAGAGCTCTCCCAGAGGATCCCATTTCCATCCCAGCACTTGGAGTTCTCCAGGACCCCGTTTCCAACCTGGCTCCCCGGGAGCTCTCCCAAAGGGTCCCATGTCCGTCCCAGACCCCAATGTCCCTACTCCCAGCCCGTCTGCCCATTCCCAGCCCATTCCCAGCCCATTCCCATTCCACACTCACTGTCTCCCACGTCATCCTGGAGCTCCAGGGGGATGGATTTCACCTCCCGAGGTTTTTGGGATCCCCCTCGGGGCCCCTCCGGCTTCTTGGGCCGGAGGCTCTTCAGGGGCTCCTGCGGGACGAGACCCAGACCGTGAGCCAGAAAAAAACCCAAATCCATGGATTTGGCCCCAAGAAAAACACCCAAATCCATGGATTTGGCCCCAAGAAAAACACCCAAATCCATGGATTTGGCCCTGCTTTTCCCAGGAGGAGCTCTCTGCACCTGGTAGGCCTTGGTGAGGACGTGGCCAAGAACCAAGAAAACCCCAAATCCATGGATTTGGCCCCGCTTTTCCCAGGATAAGCTCTCATACCCAGCAGGCCTTGGTGAGGACACAACCCAGAGCCAAGGAAACCCAAATCCATGGATTTGGCCCTGCTTTTCCCAGGATGAGCTCTCATACCCAGCAGGCCTTGGTGAGGACACAACCCAGACCCAAGGAATCCCAAATCCATGGATTTGGCCCCACTTTTCCCAGGATGAGCTCTCCGTACCCGGTAGGCCTTGGTGAGGATGCAGCCAAGAGCCAAGGAATCCCCAAATCCATGGATTTGGCCCCACTTTTCCCAGGATGAGCTCTCCGTACCCGGTAGGCCTTGGTGAGGACGCGGCGGCGCCGCCGGGGCTCGGCCTCGTCCTGGTCACTGCCCGGCTCGTCCCCCTCGTCGATGTCGAAGTCCGAGTCCACCTCGTCCTCCGTGTCCGAGTGTTCCCCCCGGTACTCGTCATCCCCGGATTCCTGCGGGATAACGGGGATGGATCAGCACGGAGAGATCGGAGAGATCCCCTCAGGACTTGTTATCCCCAAATTCCTGTGGGATAACAGGGATGGATCAGCATGGAGAGATTGGAGAGATCCCCTTGGGACTTGTTATCCCCAAATTCCTGTGGGATAACAGGGATGGATCAGCATGGAGAGACCACAGAGATCCCTCCTGGACTTGTTATCCCCGGATTCCTGCGGGATAAGGGGGATGGATCAGCATGGAGAGATTGGAGAGATCCCCCCTGGGCTCGTCATCCCCGGATCCCTGCGGGATAA